ACCGGCGCCCTCGCCTGAGACATCCTCACAAAACGGGCCCCGGGGGGGATGCCCAGAGGAGCCCAGAGCGGCCTCCGGCACCGTTTCAGGACAGATCCGCTGGATCTGGTGGATCCGACGAATCCCAAACCGGCCCCGGGGGAGGTGCCCATGGAGCCCAGAGCGGCCTCCGGCACCGTTTCCGGACAGATCCGCTGGATCCGGTGGATCCGCCGACGAATCCCAAACCGGCGCCCTCGCTTGAGACATCCTCACAAAACCGGCCCCGGGGGAGGTGCCCAGAGGAGCCCAGAGCGGCCTCCGGCAACGTTTCCGGACAGATCCGGACAGATCCGGTGGATCCGCGCCCCGGGGGAGGTGCCCAGAGAAGGAATGAGGAGGAGGAGGAGGAGGAGGAGGAGGAGGAGGAGGAGGAGGAGGAGGAGGAGAGAGAGAAGATGATGGAGCTGTGGGGGTGAAGGAGGACAGACGGAGGCAAGAGAAGGATGGAGGAGGAGGAGGAGGAGGAGGAGGAGGAGGAGGAGAGGAACCTCATCCTCACCCTCGCCAACAAGCGCACGCACCTTCTTCTATATACAGAAACTCCCGATCAACCGCAGAGCGGCCGGCTAGTAATGATGATGATGCTGATGTTGATGATGATGCTGCTGACGATGATGCTGCTGCTGATGATGATGATGAGGATGATGATGAGGAGGCGGATGAGGAGGAGAAGGAGGATGAGTATACTGAGGAGGAGGATGATGAGGAACATGATGAGGAGGAGGAGGAAAAGGAGGAGGAGGAGGAGGAGGAGGATGGGGAATAGGAGGAGGAGGAGGAGGAGAAGGAGGCGTATGAGGAGGCGTATGAGGAGGAGGAGGACGCCCACGACCACGAAGGGAGTGACCCAATTCGCATGCAACAAAAACAAACAAGCTAGGAGGGGCCTAGGCAGCCGAAGAGATCCTCCTCCTCCTCGGGAAGAACGCCTCTCCAGCGCCTGGCCTCGACCTCGGCCCCCAGCTCCACGACCTCCGCCCGCGTCAGGCCGAGCAAGGCGAGGCCTCGCGCACGGTCGGCAGCGGGACCCTCGCGGCGCGAGGGCTGGGCACCCCGAGCTATTCTCGGAGGGCGGTCGCGGCCCTGGGACCAGGCCTCAAAGAAGGGCCCCCACTCCGAGCGAACCTCAAGAGAGGGGGCACCCGTGTACGCCATAGTGAGCCCTTTAGGATTCCTATGGGCAGGATATCTTCCAGCACGAAATCGGTCAAGGTAAAACCCCCGTCCCCCAGACGCAACAGGACGACACCTCAACCGAAGATTCCCCCGTTTCGTGCTGGAATGTGCCATTGCACCACAAGCCGTGCAACACAGCATCGTATCGTGATACGTGCAGCCATCCGACTCATATACCACCCCCTGCTCAAGGGAATGCCCCAGCTGGAGCCATGCTCCTGGGGTCGGGGGGTTCTCGGGAGGCGGCTCACCAGAAACAGCACCAGGGGCCTCGCCAGGGGCTTCCCCCGCACCAGGCGCAACCTGAGGCACACCGCTAGGCGCACTTGGCTCACCACCCCCAGGGTCCGAACCAGGAAGGGGGAAGCCAGGGACCGCATCCAGGAGGACGTAGCCGAGCCATTCCAACCCTTGATGATCGTTCAGGGCCAAATCCCTACACTCAGCCTGCTGCCTGGCACTGTACAGCCCGACGCGTCGGACAAGCTCTGCATATCCAGTCACAAATTGGCGGTCCTCAATCGAAATTCGGAATGGTTCAGTTCCTTCCTTGGCGAGTCTGTCCGCCTCCGAGTTCCCGAAACGCTGCATTTCAGTGATACGGCCTTCCCTAACATCAACCATCGACGAGTGAGACGGGATCCGATGCACTGCCAAGCCCTCCAAACGGTCCCCAATCTCAGCCCACCAGTGGGCTCGGGCCGACGACGCACCAGCTGCCCCCGCGAGGTTTCGAAGGCAACCGACCGTGGCCGCACAGTCCACATGAAGCGAGACACCTGAGGAGAGGACCGAACGGCGGGAGAGCATCAGCACAGCGAAATCCTCGCCGTCGCGCGCCTGTTGCCCAGGCGCTTCCCCGATCGGCACGACACCAAAAAGGGCAGCGAGGGTCCTACCCTGCCTGTCCAGCACCACAACAGCCCAACCCGCGGTCCCGAGTCCTGTGAGCTTCCCTTCAAGGCCCGACCCGTCCGTGAACACATGAGCCCCCTCAGGAATAAACAAGGGGCCGTCCTGAGGCCACTGAAAGTGCCTGGTGCACGGGTCCTGCGGGTCGCGGGGGGGTCGCTCCACCCAGGCCGCAGGGTTGGGGAAAAGACATCTGCTAAAAAGTTCCCCAGCAGGAGTGGGGAGATGGCCAACCGCACGAGCCGCCTTAGCAACCACGGGATCCAGGTTCTCGCGCCGCCAGGGAGCGAAGGCAACGCACTGAAACCTGCGATGGTACAACGTGCCTCTACCATCTCTGCACAGCTGGCATTGGTCAGGGGCCTCTGGACTATGCTCGCACACTCTGTGCTGGCACCAGTACACATTCGCACACAGAGCTGAAAGAGCTGCCTTGTGCGACTTCGTCCACGACTCCGAACATTTCCGCCCTAGAAGCTGATGAATGGGCTGCCAGAACACTGGGCCGCTCCACATCCCGAAATCAAATTGTTTCAACTGCTCCTCCCGCTCAATGGCCCGAACGACCGAGCCTCGCAGGAGAAGGGTGAAAAACTTGGGCGAAAACCGATCAATTGACCACACCACGGTTGAGGTCGTCAACCAGGGCTAATCGAGACACATCGAAACTCCAGCGGATCCGAGCAAGCTGCAGGAAAAGCGCAGCAACAGGCTGGCGGACTTGGCCCCAGGGGGCCCTACTCCCCTGGACCGCCAGGGCGTCCTGGACACAAGCTTCCAACACTGGTTTAGAAATCGAGCGGGCCCACCAAACGCTGACGAATTCCTTTACAGCCGACGTCACCGTCACCAAAAGCGGGTCCCTGAGCCAGAGGCGAGCGGCCGAAAGAAACCTGAAGCCCAGGGAAGTGCCAGGAAGAAGAGGGCCCCAGGATCTCGCAGCTTGGACCCTAAGCTTATGGAGGGTGGTCGGCGGGATCCCCAAGATGTGGGATCCACAAGAAGCTTTAGCCAGCGCGCCCACACGATAAACTCTACTATGCTTTTCACTCTGCCCCAGCTGTCGTAGGGCAACTGCAGTGCTGCGGGCGGCCTCAATTCTCGACGCCTGCGTGCCGACTCGTCTCGCCCTGCCGTCCAGCGAGTCGCCGCCGAGGTCGCGGTGGGCGATGACCAGCTTGTCGTCCGATAGCCTCCACCTGGGATCCTGTACCAACGCAGGCAGCTGGGAGTGATCGGACATCATGAATCTAGTCTTGTCCCAATTAATTGGCAGGAGGAGGAGGAGGAGGAGGAGGAGGAGAAGGAGGAGGAGAAAAGAGAGGGCAGAGGAGGAAGAGGAGAAGGAGGAGGAGGAGGAGGAGGAGGAGGGGGAGGAGGAGGAGGAGGAGAGGACCACCGTAAACCAAATAATCATCAACGATGTTGGAATTCACCCTCCCTCCAAGCTCCCTCGTCATAGGCCCCTACAACGGTTCATTTCCATTGAAGGAACTGCCTCGTTGGCAGACACCCTTGAAGACCCTGAAGCATACCAAAACATTGTTCGCTGGATTTCAACGCCACGGATCAACCTGACTGCTGCGTCTTGACGATCCGGAGCCGTACAAGAACGCCATTTTTGGGGGACTTCGACACCGCGAATCAACATAACTGTTGCACCGCATAATCCTCAATCTTTCCAAAACACTATTTCTCGTACGCTGATCATGGGAATCCGTGAAACTCTTCCAAATTTTGTGTACGAATGTGTGCGGTGATAAGGCGAGAGCTACATTTTGAAAAAGAACCGCCCTCAATCCGTAAAACTCTTGCAAATGTTTGAAACGAATGTGCGCGGCGCTAAAGCGAGATACACATTTTGAAAACCACCCGCCCTCAATCCGTGAAACTCTTGCACATGTTAAAATCGAATGTGCGCGGCGCTAAGGTGAGAGCCACATTTTGAAAACCACCCGCCCTCCATCTGTGAAGCTGTTGCCACTTTTCAAACTTCAGAATCATAAATGGGAAGAAGTCTCAGGCGTGAACGCCCGGTCCGCCCTAAAAACTAGCCTCGGGGTGCGACAGGGAGAAACTATTGATCAGGAAGAGGAATGGAGGAGAAGGAGGAGGAGGATGAGGATGAGGACGAGGATGAGGGGGAGGAGCATGAGGATGAGGATGAGAAGGAGGAGTATGAGGAGGAGGAGGAAGAGAAGAAGGAGAAGCAGGAGGAAGAGGAGGAAGAGGAGGAGGCGGAGGAGGAGGAGGAGGATGAGGATGAGGAGGAAGAGGAGATGAAGGAGGAGGAGGAGGAGAAGGAGGAGGAGGAGGCGGAGGAAGAAGAGGAGGAGGAGAAGGATGAGGAGGAGGAGGAGGAGGAGGAGAAGGATGACGAGGATGATGATGATGAGGAGGAGAAGGAGGAAGAGGAGGAGGAGGAGGAGAAGGAGGAGGAGAAGGAGGAGGAGGAGGAGGAGGAAGGGGAGGAGTATGATTAGGAGGATGATGAGGAGGATGAGGAGGAAGAAACGGAGGAGGAGGAAATGAGGAGGAGATGGAGGTGGAAGAGGAGAAGGAGGACGAAGAGGAGAGGAGGAGGATGAGGAGAATGAGGAGAAGGAGGATCAGGATTAGGAGGAGGAGGAGGAAGAAGAGGAGGAGGCCCCAACGGGACGATTCGGGCACCCCCCGAACGCTCTCGGCGAGGCGCCGCTGCCGGACAGCGTCCCGAGGCTGGGAAAGTGCCGAGAATCGACGAGCTTGTCGTCCGAAAACCGCCGAGAACTAACGGAAGCTCTCGAAACCCGAGCCTGCCCCCTCCCAACGCTGCCCCTGACAGGAGCGCGGCGCACGCAGAAGCAGGCCTGCGCAGGCGGGCCGCGGACCTTCTCGGACGCGGCGCACGCGAGCGCCGAGTCCCCGCGGCCCACCGAGCAGCTGTACACCTCGCTGCTCGTGACCGCGAAGCGCCGGGCGGAGGCGTCGGCCGCCCTGATGTCCCAGACACGGGCGGAACCGTCGTGGGAGCACGAGACGAGGCACGCTGGGTTGGCCTGGAAGAACTCCAGGTCCTTCGCTTCCTCCCTCTTCTCCCCCTCCTCCTCCTCCATCTGCTCCTCCTGCTCGTGCCCCCCCTTCTCCTTCTCCTCCTCCTCCTCCTCCTCATTCTCCTGCTCTTCCACGCCCTCTTCCTCCTGCTCCTCCGTCCCATCCTGTTCCGCCGGATCCACCTTCCCATCCGTTCATGCCTGACTCCTCTTCGCCTCCTCCATAATTTCCTTCGCATCCTCTGCGTCCTGCCCCTGCTTGCTACCTCTTCTTCCTTCTTCCTCCTCCTTCTCCTTCTCCTCCTCCTCCTCCTCCTCGTCCTCATCACCGCCACCACCCTCACTAGCACCATCACTATCACCATCACCATCATCATCGTCATCATTATCACAACCACCGACTCAACCACCATCTCCATGATGATCATCACCATCATCACCATCATCACCATCAACATCGTCATCACCACCATTACCACGATCATCACCAACAGCACTATCAGCACGACCATCACCATCACCATTATCATCACTATCACCATCACCATCGCCGCCACCTTCACTATCACCATCACCGTCATCACCAACTCCATCACCATCGCCATCGCCATCACCATCAACATCACCATCACCATCACCATCACCATCACCATCACCATCACCATCATCATCATCATCATCATCATCATCATCATCATCATCATCATCATCATCATCATCATCATATCATCATCATCATATCATAATTGCCATCATCGTGATCATCATCACTATCACTATCTATCCTATCACTATCACTATCACTATCACCATCACCATCACCATCACCATCACTATCACTATCATCATCATCATCATCATCATCATCATCATCATCATCATCATCATCACAATCATCACTATCGGCACCATCACCATCACCATCATTAACATTACCATCATCGTCATCATCATCACCACCATCACCATCACCATCATTAACATTACCATCATCATCCATCTCTTTTCCTTGTAATCATCTGGCGCCTGTCCCACCCACAGACGTGTTGGTAGGGCGCGCTGGGCGTTTCGCCGCAGACATCTGCGCCGTTTATGATCCTGAGCCTTGAGCTTTGCTCCAATCGGGTGGGTCGTTTTCAAAAGGTGGCTTTCGCCTTAGCGCCGCGCCCATTCGTCTGAAACGTTCGCACCAGTTTCACGGATGGAGGGCGGGCCGTTTTCAAAATGTGGCTCTCGCCTTAGCGCCGCGCACATTTGTTTTCACAACCCGCAGCGGTTTCACGGATGGAGGGCGTACCGTTTTCAAAATGCGGTTCTGGCCTGAGCGACGCGCAAATTCGTCTTATAAAGTTGCAACAGTTCCAAGAAGGAAGGGCGGTTATTTTCAAAACGCGGCTCTCGCCTTATCGCCGCGCTAATTCGCTTTAAACCCTCTCAAACAGTTTCCAGTAATCGTTTGGTTGAGGTCCCAGGAACGGTGTGCTGGAACGATCTGGTATTGTCAAGACGCAACAGTCACGTTGATACCCGGTGTTGAAGTTTCACGAATAATGTCCCCTGGGAAAAGAAGTTGTATTGCAACATCGTTGAACCATCCCGTTTTTTCTCCTCCTTCTCCTCCTCTTCCGCATCCGTTCCTCCACGGCGTCAGTGTGCCCCTGCAGGCTTCTCAACGGCTGTAGCGAATGGCTGTCCAGGACGCGTATGTCGTGCTCAGAGGTCGCGACGGCCACCGCAGAACCATCGCAGTTGCAGCCGAAGAGAGGGGGAGAAGGAGGAGGAGGAGAAGGAGCATGAGGAGGAGAAGGATGAGGAGGAGAAGGAGAGGCAGGAAGAGAAGGATGAGGAGGATGATGATGATGATGAGGAGGAGGAGGAGGAGGAGGATGAGGAGGAGGAGGAGGGGGAGAAGGAGGGGGAGGGGGAGGGGAGGAGGAGGGGAGAGGGGGGGGAAGGAGGAAGGGGAGGAGGAGGAGGAGGAGGAGAGGAGGAGGAGGAGTAGGTGGAGGATGATGATGAGGAGGAGGAGGAGGACGAGGAGGAGGAGGAGGAGGAGGAGGAGGAGGAGATGAAGAGGAGGAGGAGGAGGAGGCGGAGGAGGAGGAGGAGGAGGAAGAGAACGAGAAGGAGGAGGAGGAGGAGGAGAAGGATGAGGATGAGGAGGAGCAGGAAGAGGAGGAGGAGGAGGAGGAGGAGGAGGAGGAGGATGAGGAGGAGGAGGAGGAGGAGGGGGGGGAGAGGAGGCGGGAGGGGGAGGGGGAGGAGGAGAGAGGAGGAGGAGAATGAGGATGAGGATGAGGATGAGGATGAGGATGGAGGGAGGAGGAGGAGGAGGAAGGAGAAAGAGGAGTAGGAGGAGGAGGAGGAGGAAGAGGAGGAGGAGGAGGGAGGAGGAGGAGGAGGAGGCGGATGAGGAGGAGGAGGGGGGAGGAAGGAGAGGAGGAGGAGAGGAGGAGGAGGAGGAGGAGGAGGAGGAGGAGGAGAAGGGGAGGGGGGAGAAGGGGAGGGAGAGGAGGAGGAGGAGGAGGAGGAGGAGGAGGAGAGGGAGAGGAGGAGGAGGAGGAGAGACGGGAAGAGGAGGAGCCGGAGGAGGAGGAGGACGAGGGGGAGACGGAAGAGGAGGGATGATGATGCTGATGATGCTGCTGATGATGATGGTGATGATGCTGCTGATGATGATGTTGGTGGTGATGATGCTGATGATGCTGCTGATGATGGTGCTGCTGCTGATGATGATGAGGAGAAGGTGGAGGAGGAGGAGGAGGAGGAGCAGGAGGAAGGATAGGAGGACGAGGAGGAGGAGCCGGAGAAGGAGGAGACGGAGGGGGAGGAAGAGGAAGAGGACAGAAGAAGGAGGGAAGGAAGAGGGGGAGGACACGGAAAAGGAGGGATGATGCTGATGATGCTGGTGATGATGATGCTGATGTTGATGGTGGTGGTGATGATGCTGATGACGATGCTGATGATGCTGATGATGAGGAGGATGAGGAGGAGGAGGAAGACGAGGAATGGGGAAACAAACATATACCGATATCGCTATGCCATGTACGTCTCCCAGGGTCCGTTCTGACCCATATCTTGGAGCAGACCCAGCCGCGGCGATGGGAGAGGCGCAGCGGCATCGGTACCTGTTCCTCCTCCCCTGGAGGCGGAGGATCAGGGAGAAGACCAAGCTTGAACACGTAGGCGTCAGCACCAATCTGCACCTGCCGCCGGAGCACGAACGCGCCGAGCTCCATCGGCCACGCCGGGCGCGCCAGCAAGGCCCTGGAGGCGCCCGCTCGAGGGACAACGACTGTGCGGCCTGGGGCGATGCTGGGAGGAGGGGAAGAGGAGGCTCGATGACCATGACGAGGACGGCAATGGAGGAGGAGCGAGGATGGAGGAGCAGGAGGAGGCGGAGGGGAATAGGAGGAGGGGGGGTCAGCGCCAGGCAGTCGAAATGACCTTGTTCCGCCATAATCGCGATACCCCTTGCGGTGCGACAGCCAGAGGTTCCAGGAAGGCTGCTGCATCGCAAGTAGCTGTGCCGCTGAGATGTCCTCACCAACACTTGGAGCCTGCTTTCACCTGCTCCACGCACGCTCTGCCTGCCTCGCCCGCTGCCTTGATGATCGGGTCCGGGCCGTCGAGGAGCACAAAGCCCCATGCCGCGCCCGCCAGCTGACAAAGCTGCCGGCTGCTGTTGAGCTTGGGCTCCCGCAGCGCCACGATCTCGTCTGCCGAGCCCGATGACCCAGCGCTCTCGGTGTTCGACCTTCCTCGCCCCGCCACCACGGGCGGCCCGTGTGTGCCGGTGCGTCCGCTTCGATCGCTGTCTCTGCGCTCTCCGACCTGCCTGCGATGATCCGGTTGTGGGCCATTGGAGCTCTGGTCCTGGTGGGTGTTCAGTTACGTGTGGCACATGAGCTTCGAGGTCGGCGCTCTCGTGCCCACGCGACCCGCACAAGAGTAGGCGCTCGACCCCTCTGGCTCAGGTGCAAAAAAGTGTGCAACGCGTGGTACACCTTCTTAGCGTTCGTTTCGGCACGCTTTGTTAAATATTCGGACAAGCTGCTCGATTGGCGAAGTGTGTGCGACACTACGGGCACGTATTCGTACTAATGATCATGATGGAATCGCTCCTCATACGGTGCGCGTGCGTGATGTGTGCGGTGAGCCCTCGTTCTCTAGTAAAGCAATCACCGTACGGCTCTCCTCCACATACGTACTTTGTGTTCCGTCGCTGTTCCGTCTCCATGTGTTCCTTCCCTCAGGGGCTCTTCTTTAGGCAGATCGGGGCCATGATCATCTGCGAATTCTTCTAGGGCTCGGATTCGGATCTTTCTCGCCAAATGCTGCCTGCCACCCGAGACCTTCTCGAACTCAACCTTCCCAAGAGCGGCCTAGACTGGGCCGCCGCCGACTCGAGCACGTGCCGAGCAGTGCCTCTCTCTCCGTCATGCGTTGAACTGGCCCTCCGACCATGACAAGGCTCTGAGATCGTCCATGCACTGCTTACCTCAAGGAGTCGAGGTGGGACATATTTTCCATGTGCGTCAAGCTGATACTGAAGCGTAAGCTTGCCAAGCTCCGTCGCGCCAAGGAAGAGGGCGAAGGTTGGAGAGAGGAGGGAGGAGGAGAGGATGAGGAGGGAGGCAGGAGGGAGGATGACCTCGAGGAGGGAGGGGCTGTGAAGGAGGACGTCGTGAGATCTCGGTACGAATGCGGCCATGGCCGAATGACTTGCCTGCTCCCTGCTCCAGGCTCTCTTCTCTCTTCCTCTCCTCCTCCTCCTTCTCTTCTGCTGATAGTATTCACGATTTGCTTGTTGGAGCTACGAAACTTCTTATGTCACAAGCGCCAGTTGTTCCTTCGTCTCTTCTGAGCGTATCATCGGTCTCGGCTCAGCTCCCCGTTTCTGTTCCCAAGATGGTCTTGCAAACGTCCGACAAAGCGTTGGCCGAGAGCCTCATTCAAGCTGTCCCTGTGCTTGCGTCCGCGCCTCAAACCCACAACTCCAAACATTTGGGGATCGACTTCACGCTGCGGCATCGACGCGGGTTGTTACGGCACGTGCGCAA